AGCGGCCCCGTGCTGCTCTCTCGCCGCCACCTCCAGCAGGTACCTCCGCCCTCGCTTCGCGGACCGGCCGCATCCCGGCCCCGGCGGGGCGGGTGCTGGGCAGCATGGTGGGGCTCGATGGGAGCGGAGGGAAGGAGGCAGTGCTTCCCCGGGGGGTGAGGGACTCGCTCCGAACCGTGGTTTGTTTCGCTTCGCTCTACGTGGCAGGTATTGAATTTTCTGATTGCTAAAATGTCGCTTCTTGTTAATATTTACATGTTCAGAAAGAGGAGGGGAATCGCTACCCTGCTTCCACCACAGTGTTTATGTTTTCTGAAAAAACGTGTATAAGTGCTTAACCTTGGTAGAGATTTTTTTGGTAAATGCCTGTAATTGCTTTGCTGGTTTAAACTTGTTTTCCTCAGGCACTTTTTAATTTCATAACTCTGCGGCGTGTGTCCAGGTCACATTAGTAATAGGAGGGAGCAGAGAGACAAAGCCAAAAATCTCAACTGCGGAGCGGGGCAGTAGCTGCACACCTGTGGGGGCTGTTGTCCCCACAACACCTGTACACACCTGTGGGGGCTGTTGTCCCCACAACACCTGTACACACCTGTGGGGGCCGTTGTCCCACACAATGTAAGCCTCACGCAACCCCTCCCCAGACATCCTGGGCAGCCTCTGTGGTTGGTGCTGCTCGTTTGGTTTCACAGCGAAGGGGTGTCCGGCCAGCTGCTGCTCTTTGGCGTTCAGCGGGGTGAAATGGGGTGTGCTCAATCGGAACACCCCGATCTGGAGCCGCTCTGCTCTCCCTCCCCAGCTGCTGGGGCAGCTGCACTTTGCAGCCGTTACTGGCACAGGTGATCAGCCCCTCAGTGGGACCACTCAGGATGGCCAATGCCATCAGGCATCCCTCATGCCCTCCTTTCCTGCCTTAGGGGTCCCACATCCCCCTGAGACTAGGCAATGGAGCTGATGAGCAGAGGAATACGGGGCAGGGGGTGTGATACAGGTCACAGGCAGATACCTGCTTACTTGTCCATCACTGTTCAAGTTGCTGGGATGCTGGTGCGGTGCAGTGTCCCTTTTTGTTACTCCTGCCCTGAGGGAGGCTCTGAAAGACTTCACAAAACTGCAAACATACCCACACTACCTCTAGTAGGTGTTTTTGTTTGTCTGTCTACTGCAGTCCTTTGGGAGCAAACAGCCCAGCAGGCGCTGCCAGGCCGGCAGCTGTGGGCAGAAAGTGAGAGCAAGCTGGGGGAGAATCGAAAGCCACAAACTGTTTCCATTGTCCAAAGGCAGGTAATATGCAAAGCACAAGTAGTGAAAGTGCACCAGGTCAGCAGAAATCACATTATTAAAATGAAAGTGAGGCTTTTGCCCCTTTGGGATGTTCAGTGTCACCAGGGGACGTTTTGAGGACTTTGATACCAGGCTGACATGGCTGTTTACTTGAGAGCTCATGAATTCATGTCTCCAGCCATTTCCACTAAAAAAACCCTGTGTTAATTCAACAACAGAGTTGGGTGAGCCTCATGGAGACAGTTCTTTGTTCCTGCAAAATATTAATGTGCTTTCTGCTGAAGATTAATTCTTACAGGAAGGCTGTTAAGAATATGCAAAGGGTTATTTATAGCGGCTATTTCTGCATGGCTTGTGAGGGAGGAGCAGTGAACCCCAGCTTGTCTCTTGGAAGAAATGCTGGCCAGATCCCCTCTTTTAGGGGGCAAAGCTGTAGGACTTCCCAAAACACCTCTCTCTAGCTGTGGGGATGCTTGTGGTCTCTGTGACGTTGCTTTGACCTGAGGTGTTTCTCTGTTCATTGGCAAGGATGCAGACTCCTCCGAGCGGGTCCTCATGGACATGCGCTGGGGCCTGGTGCCCTCCTGGTTCAAGCAGGACAACCCCTCCAAGCTGCAGTTCAACACCTCCAACTGCCGCAGCGATACCATGCTGAGCAAGTCCTCCTACAAGGTGAGCTGCTGCCACCTTTGTGTCCTGCTTGGAGAAATCTTGTAGTCAGCAAAACCAGGGCTGAAACATCTGCTGGGCAAGCATTGGTCACCACTTGCCATTGCACAGGGGAGCAAGTCCCTGTACTGCAAAGCTGGGGGTTTTACTGAAATGGAAGAACTGAAAAGGCAGTTACTGGAACAGCTCAACATAGCACTAGTGGTGGCATTTGTGCATCCCAGGGGCAATTTAGGAAAGTCCTTGGAGGGAGCCAGAGGGCTGAGTAATGCAGGAGCCCTTCTGCCATTGCAGACTACCTGAGGCTGCTGTTCACCGCTCACTTGTGCTGTCTCTCCCCAGGGTGCTCTCCTCAAGGGCAAGCGCTGCGTGGTCCTGGCAGATGGCTTCTACGAGTGGCAGCAGCAGAGTGGGGGGAAGCAACCGTATTTCATTTACTTCCCCCAGACCAAAGACACCATGGTATGGAGTTCCTTGCTGTGTCTGAACGCTTGCACTCAGCTCTGGGCCCCTGCTCCGAGCAGCTGCCTGGGGAAAAGCCCACTTCTCTCTTACTCTGCCCATCTCTGGGACTCTGTTTCCAGCAGGGCTGTGTTCTGTGCTGGGCTTGGCACACTGCCATGCCTCTGCGGCTGGCAGTCCCCATCGCAGCGCTCTCCAGGCTGTAAAAGGTGACGCAGCGTCCCTGCCGTCACGGTCACTGCTCCCCACGTGCCGGATATTTGTATGGGTGGGCAATGTGGCTCACAGGGGACTGGGCTGGGAGTTTCACTACCTCTTTCATTTGGCTGAACCAGTGGCTAGGATGTTCAGAAGGAGAGGAGAGCACTGGCTTGCCTGTGGGAAGATGAGGGTCCTGATATCTCTCCTGGAGTTACCTCAAATCAGTAGAAAGACTCCTGGAGAGCCTCAGCTCAGTTCTGTTCACGACTCAGATCTGAGTCCCTGACCTGCCTCAGCTCTGACAAATTTGTGCTGCTTTGGCTGTCCATGGGCCAGCACTGACCAGGACAACGGGGCCTCTCTCCTACAGGACAAGGAGACACAGGGAGATGAAGAATGGAAAGGGTGGAGATTGCTCACTATGGCTGGGATTTTCGATTGCTGGGAGCCACCGGGGGGAGGAGAAATGCTGTACACTTACACCATTATCACTGTGGATGCTTCCAAGGATGTGAGCTTCATCCATCACAGGCAAGTGAGAGCAGGCAAGGAGGTTGCAGGGTGGAGGGGGATGAAGTAGGAGAACTGCACCTTTTGACACCAGTCTGGCAGCACTCAGGCACGGAGTGCAGCTTGTTCCTCCTGCACTCAGAGAGAAGTACTACAACATTACTGACCCATTTCAGGTCACCAGCTCATGCCCTTTCCATAAATCACCATCTTTGTGCTCTGTGGGTAGCAGTTGGAATTGGATCACTTTTTGGATTTGGTCTCCCTTCCTGACCAGGGCCTGTCAGCCTCTTCCAGCAAACCAGCTACCTGTGTGAATGTGCACTCTGCCCTACAGAAGAGCATCCTGTTGCTTGTTTTCCCTCTTTTCCCCAAGAGGCCGGCTCCTTGCTGGCTTACAAGTCTGGCTTTTGCCACCACACTGACATACTGCTGCTGAGCTTTGGCTCTGTCTTATCCCTTAGGATGCCAGCTATCCTGGATGGGGATGAAGCCATCAGGAAATGGCTGGACTTTGCTGAAGTGCCAACCCAAGAAGCTGTTAAACTCATCCAGCCCACAGAGAACATTGTTTTCCACCCAGTGTCCACCTTTGTCAACAACATCCGCAACAACGCACCTGAGTGTGTTGCACCTGTTGAGCTGGGAGTGAAGAAGGTGGGTACTGGTGGGGGCTTAGCAGGGGGGAGCTCAGCCATGGTGATGTCTCTGAGCCAGGTCAGAGCTGCCAGGCTGCAGGAGGAGTGGCAGTAGGCAGTGTCTGCAGAGCATGCCTGTGCTTGATGCTGGAGTACTGAGCCCTGGACAGATTCCCTTCCCTCTGCTTCCAGAAATAAAACTGTCAGCCCATGCCAGGATTTTGCTGCCAAATGAGGCAAATTCCATGTGAAATGGGTCTTGGAACAAGCCTGTTCGCAGCAGTCTGGGGAACCTCCCACAGATGTGCCTGATTGCAGGCAGGGCCATTGCTCCAGCCTCCACATCCCGCTCTGGACCAGCTCTTGCAGCTGGCTGGCTGCCCTGCTCACTGTGCTTCTGACTTCTCTCACACTGTCTTTTGTCTGTCCAGGAGATCAAAGCTACCCCAAGCAACAAAGTGATGCTGGGCTGGTTAAAAAGCTCCCAGGAGGGCTCTCCCCAGAAGAAAGAAAATGATTTGCCCAAGTGGACAAGTCAGTTCATCCACAGCCCTTCACCCAAGAAAACCAGCGCAGATATCCTGCAGCAGTGGCTGGGGAAGCAGGGACAGCCAGCTGCGAAGAAGCACAAGGCTTAGGCACCAGATGAGATGGCTGGCCATCCCTTTTACCTCTGATTTTCCTAAGTAGAGTGAGAAATGGTATTTTTGTAAGGCTTTGCAGACTGATGTTGAAGTCATCCAAGCCTCTCAGGTGTTGATCTGCTGCTCTAGGTTGTTGTCTCATTTCTTTGTGTTTTGTTAAAGGTTGATGTCTGTAAAGATTTTGGCTTTGTCTTGTGCTGAGAGGAGTGAATATAACTTGTTGGCCTCCCTCCTTGCCAGTCATGCCAAGCAAAAATAAAGCCCTGAGAAGCATCTCAGCCTGCTAGGGAGGAATAACTTCTGTCTCCTGACAATGTTGATAGTTCATGTCTCTGGTTTTCTCTTCCCTTTTTTTGGTGTTAAACTGATACTTTTGCACTTAATTCCACACTGATTCTGTACAAATTCCTTTCCAATATTCTTGCCCTGAAAAGATGGCTGCAGTGCAGTACTGAGGAACAAGCAGTAAATATTATGAGGAAACCCCAGGCTGGGAAGATCTGCCAGATCCACCCTGCTCTTTATCAGCATTGCGATGTGCATTCATGGCTCCTAAACAGGGAGATGTTCAAGTGGTGCCTGGAGGAGCTGGACTTTGCTTAGGTTTTCCTGCTGGCAGCAGGGTGGAACAGTGTGTCTGTCACGTTGTTTGTACCATCATTTTGTTAATGGGATTTGAAGACTTAGAGAGGATTTCCTTGATCTGGGGAGGGATGCACTCTGTCTTATTTGAAAAGGCCAGTCATTAAAGCCCAGATAACCTAAGTGCCATTACAGAACAGCACAGGGCTGTTGTTTATGAGGTCAGGGATTTTGTAAACAGAGCCAGATGTTACAGACCAAAAGCCTTACATGATGAAATCCTTGCTAGAAATCAGTACTTCTTTGTGTTGGAAACAATAAAATGGTCTTCACTGGCTGTCTGGGCCGTGCCCTTGTCCATGTGCGTGTCTGTGTCCCTCTTGCCCGCTGCAGCCCCAGTGCTCCTGTTTTGCAGGCAGAGCTTGTACCTCCTCTCCATCTGCCGAGGAGCAAACCACCTACCCAATGCAGAGCTCTCAGGGTTGGAGCTCTGCAAGGCCATGTTGGTGGAACATTTCCATTTGTCAGTGGTAAATATTCCCTGGGGCTTGATTCTGGGGCTCCTCTAGAGTCATCTGTCCTCCCTGGAGAGCTGCAAGGGTGGCTGCAGCTGAGGCTTGTCCCTGGGGAGGTGTGGAGAGGGCCCACAGCGGGCTGGGGGTCAGAGAGAAGAGCTGACAGAAAGAAGAAGCCAGCAGGATTCCTGTGTGTCCATGAGAAGAAGAGAAATAAGATAAGGGTAGAAGAAAACAGAACATGTGTGCTGCAAAAAAAACCCATAGAAAAGCAGGACTTAACTGTATTTTGGATTTTTGGGGATGCTTTCTCAATATAGTGCTTCCATCAATGGACTTGAGGGGTGGTGTGATGATGACCAATGAGATGGGTGCACTTACTGGGTCAGAAAGGTATAAAAACGCTATGTATGAGCACAATAAAAAAGCTTGGAAGAGGTTTCTTAAGGATCTGCTTTGTGTTGTGTCTGCTCTGAGGATGACAGTGAGGGACAGCAGACCCAGGGCAGGAGCCACAGGATGGAGACCTGGGGAGACCCAAGTGCTATTGAATGAAATCCGCCTCTGAATCCCTCACATGCTACAGAGGCAGCTGAGCGCGGGTTTCATGACTTAGGGGAAGCTGGGGTGGGATTAGGATTTCTATCCAGAAAGCCTGTTGCTAGCTGGTTCCTCATTGCTGTCACCATGACTTGAGGCAAGGGAATCACTGTATTAGCAGCTCCTGGCAGAATAGATTTTTGGCTTCTGGCACTGTCACCTTGATGCCTGTCCTTGCAGGAGGCACAACGGGAGGTTTCTCTCCCTGCCTGCCCATCGCTGTTCCAGGATAAGCTGCTCAGCTGCCCCAGCCTAGTGAGTGCTAACTGCAGATGAGGCTTTTCTAAAGGTCACCAGCTCATCTAGAATTCATTTCAGGTCTCCAGTTGCTGTGGAGGGAGTGAAGATGCTGAGCATGAGTGGGGGGATGCTCAACTTTCCCAGCTCTGAGAACATAATCCTTCCCCTGGGGGCACAGGGGCGATGCAAAGGCACAGGGGACAGGTTTATCTCCCTCCAGACTGTGAACACCAGCAGCAGCATCGCCATAAAAAAAAAAAAAACAAACCAAAAAAACCCCAAGAACCCTACACTGTGTGTTTAATGAGGAGGTGTTATTGCTGCGCTACATCACCTTTAAACTGGAGTCTGGCTGCTCGCCCAAGGCTGTTTGAGGCAGGTCCTCTCAACTGGTGCGGAGATGACCACAATCAAGCTGGCCTCTCCACAGAAACTGATTTGGGAGAAACTTTCCCCTTTGATACGTGAGGAGGCAAGGGAGGGTAGTACTCGTTGCGGGTTGCCCTCCCTGTCGCGGGCTCTTTTCTCCATAGCATCGCCCTCGCCCGCAGACTTTGGCATCCTTCCGGGAGAGACATCCCGCTGGCCGAGGAAGGTGCCAAGGGTTTGAGCAAGGCAGACGGGCACAGAGCTGCCGGGACACCCACGGGCGCTCGGGCCAATCCCCCGCCCCACATGCTCGGTCACGAAGCGGCTGCCGGGGTGCGGGGGGCGCCGGCGATCCGGGACCGGCCGGAG